TCATTTAGGGTCCAGTCAATATGAGGTAGATTGAAATCACCAAGAAAGATAAAAGGGTATGGGCAGGATGCAGCCCATGTTAGTAATGTATTTAGCTTGTTTACATGTTCGATGTCATAATCAGGTGCTCTGTAACATAGTAAGAATCGAATTGTGATATTTAAGGATAGTTCACAGATGATGGTCTCAGGAAGAGCAAGCTCCTGGGTAACTTGGATATTTTTTAGATGTAAGGACTTTTTATAGAAGATAGCAACACCACCTCCTCTACGAATTTCACGATCTGATTGGTAAACATGATAGTCTCTTACTGTGGTAATGGAGTCAGGGAGAGATGTATTGAGCCATGTTTCACAGACAAATATAATGTCGAATTTAGCCATATTTAGTAGAAGGAAAAATTCAGGTATTTTATTCGTGAGGCTTCTTGCATTGAGTAATTTGCATTTAAGGCCAACAGTAATCTGTTCATTACAGATTTTCTGCCGTTTCTCCCATAAGGGTTTCCCTTTAGCCACATTTCTACTGGTTTGAGAGAAATGGGCATACTTTTGCCCATTTCAATACCATTCTGAGTACAGGTGGTCCTTGACTTACGAAAGTTCATTTGGTGACCGTTCAAAGTTATCACGGCACTGAAAAATGTGGCTTATGACCATTTTTCACGGTTACGACCTTTGTAGCATTCCCATGATCATGGGATCAAAATTCAGATGTTTGGCAACTGACTCATATTTATGACCATTGCTGTATCCCAAGGTCATGTGATCTTTGTTTGAGACTTTTTGACGAGCAAAGTCGGTGGGGAAGCCAGATGCACTTAACAGCCGGGTTACTAATTTATCAACTGCATTCTTAACGACCGTTACAGCAATGGTCATAAGAAAAGTCGGAGAATGGGGCAAAACTCACTTAACAAATGTCTCACTCAACAACAGAAATGTTGGGCTCAACTGTGGTCATAAGTCGAGGATTCCACGTACTCCCTCCAATACCTCCACATACTGTCAGCAGTGATCACCAAAGGCCCCCTTTAGAGAAAAGGAAAGCATGCTAAGATGAATTCTGGTTTTATTTACTTAACAATGATTTACTGAATTTATCCTCTTTGGTGGGACTTGGCACATTGGATCAACCAACCCTGCCACAATCTTCTGATGTTTGGGTATAAAGTCAGTTAGGTGAAGGAAAAAGGCTGGTGAGATTCTGTCTCTAAATTAAGGTGTTTCCCCACCCCCTTTCTTTCTACTTAACAGGACACCAGAGAATACGAAGTTTCCATTTAGAAGACGTTAAGAGGATCTGCCATTCTTCTCCCAAACCCAACAAGGTCTGAGGATCAACGACTGAGAATGATTCCTGATTTGGAGGGAATAGCGGAAGGTGGTTTTTGGGAGGGGGCTAAGGGAAAATGGAGGGGAGAGAAGGAGTTTATCCTTTCTACCCCACAAATTCAGCTTTATCTCTTCTTCTCCATGTTGCTGCCTGACTGTCCACTCTCAGCTTTGGACCACTCCCTTCTCCCGTGTAAATACCCTCTTCAATGTGCCAAATGTGTTTCTCACACACACACATACACACAGAGTTATTATTCTGCTTTATCTGTTCATTTTATTTCTCTATTTATTTATTACGTTACACTTTTCCTGTTCCTTCATTTTAACGATCATTCCCTTAGTGGTTGAAAAAGGAGGAAAGGGTTGACTTCATCCCTTCTTCCATACTTTATCCCCCACTCCATTTTTAAGGAAGTGGGCCTGAGTTCTAAATGGTGCTGCCATTGGGGGGGAAAAAAGTATCTCTGTAAACAAGGCTGTACAGTAAGATCACTAAAACTCAATATATGTGGCTTACCACTAGGAGATATATTTAATCCTAAAATCAGTGGCAACCAGATGTGGGCAACAGAAAAAGCCAAATGCTGAGAGACATTAGAAAAGATATTGATCCCCAATCCTTAACATGAAAGCAAGTTTCATGTTCTTCAGGTGAATTTACCTTCATAAAATTGGGAGTACATTAGACAATCATAGAAATATAAGCAGGGTCATAAAATCATTGACTTCAGCTGTTCAGATTATATACCGTTGGAGTTTTGTAAGGTCTGTGTGCTGCAACATGCCCAATCAGAAAGCAACTAGGCTTCAATTTTAACAAATTTGTGGGGATGTTATAGACACACTTTCTCTAAATTACAGAACACCAATGCCTCCAGAAATAGATTGTCAGGTGTTATAGCCTGGTGCTGTTGAAATAACCTACAATGACAAAACAATGTAATCGTTTTACCAGATTTAGTCCTTTCTCGTACCATAATCTCTTTGCCCTCTTACTGCTTCTTACTCTTGTTCTATGCTTTGCCTAATATTACCTACCCCAAAATGGAACAGTATAATGGGCATGTGTGTAATGTTTGTAGAACCCCAGAACTAGGGGCAATGCCCAGATAAACACACACAGGAGTGCTGACTATCAAGGGTTTTCTACTTATATTTTAGTTATTCTTCCTCTAATCTTCTAATATTTCTCCCACTTCTCTGAAAGCAAAAAGAATAATAAAATAAAACCAACACAATGCAGATCTTGAAAAGAGAAGCTTCGTAGAACTTCAGTAAGCAAGCTTGGGCTTTTGGTTAGATATAAATATAATCACCCACAGACATCACTTATTTGTTTGTTAGGCTGTTTATCCATTCCTTTCCTCTTGAAGCGGCTTCTATAGCACCTACTCTTCCAATTTTTCCCTAGAAAAACGCTGTGGTAGGATTAGGATAAACATGATAGAAGGGGACTGGCCCAAAGTCATCCAGGCAACTTCCATGGCTGTAGGTAGAGTTGGATCTGTTCTCCATGATCCTTGTTAAATCCTTTTACCATTAGACCACATTGGCCCTTTATCATATTTTTAGCAGTACCGAACGGCTGTGGGAATCACTTTAGTTTTATATTTGAGATACAAATGTATTAAGAGTTGTCTCTTAACACAAAACCAGAAGACATCCCAGAATAAGTAATATGACTGTTCAACCATTATGATTGCTAAAAATTAATTTTAATAGTCCCCAAATCTTTTGAGGAGTGATTTCCCATGAAATTCATATGGCTGTTTGGATATGGAATAAAGCCTTTTAATAATAAAACACTCCTCTCTAATGATTAGGATCCATATAACTTTTAAAAGATAAAAGTGCATCTGATAATTTTATTTGCTTTTAAAGTTAACAAATCACTGAACATTACTAATTTTACATATGCTTATAAGGACAATATTTGTTATTTTTGAATTGTACTTTGCAGCCCTTTAAAAAAAAAAGAAAGTGTATATTTTTCCATTTGTCCAATGTACTGACCCAAATAATAAAATAGCTGGAGGTTTTGCAGCCTGATTCATTACAGTACCCTCTGAATGATAGAAAAGAGAGTAATGTAATTATGTCTGGAAAAGATCGATTTTCCTACTTCGCAGTATCTTAACAAGAAAATAATATGCCCACCTGGTATTAGACAATTGCTTTAAGGATTAAATAGTATTTCAGGATACAAATGGTTTATTGACAGCCTCTCTTGAATTAACACCACAGAAAGCCACTGGCTGCCTTGTATCTTCTTCAGGATGCTGACGTTTTGTGTGGCTCTTCATTTTAAGTATGACAACAGGAAAGATCCTTAGTGCCAAAATGTACGAAACTACACTTCTAAAGCTGTTTGAGAGAACTCATCTCTTCAAGAAACCCTCTTTTAGGACATGAGAGCATCTGAATGGAATTGCAGTAATCATCCTACTACACTGTAAGGTCTATAGGAAATGAGAATATTGTACCTAAAGCCCCTCGCTTACTATCAGTATGGAGCAGGACATAAAAATAGTACTTCCCAGCTCTTCCCTTGTCCCAAATAGTGAAACTGAGTTATTATATCAACCCTTCCCTGGTGGCCAGTCTTGTATTTTGGAAGAAGGTGAAAAGTATTATTTAGTCCAATTTTTGTAGATAACTTATCCTTCCTCTTTGTAGGTCTTTTATCAAGCTAGGAGGACAGTCCTGACACATTCCCACAAATGACAGTTTCTGGGAAATGCTCTCCTTTGCATCCCTAACATTTACAATTCTATTTTTTTGGGGGGGGGTGTCTTTGGTTACTCCCTTCCGCTCCTCCTCATTTGCTTTTATTTTGGAGCAATAAATAAAGCGCACCATTTGTAAAAGCTGTGGTGTCTGTATTTCTGTTACAGTCCAACAAAAAGTGAGTGTACTCTTTGTGTGATATTGGAAGAAATATCCATCTGGTTCAGTTCCAAGTGGGGAAAAAGACACTGGAAACATGGAGGCTGATTGGAAAGATGGTTTATTGATGAACAGGATCACATGGGTTTTAAGTCCTGGGCAGCTGACCACATGGAGTAGAGAGTGAGGGTTATTTATATCCTCTCTTGGGTCTTGCCCTTGAGCTTCCTGTTCCTGTGGCAAGGGCATGTATTCTATTGGTTGCTGTCAGGCTCCCATGGGACTATGCAGGGGTCATAGCTGATTTTGTAGGTTATCTCAGTGAAGCTTGGGCTGAGGCAACGAAGGGGCTTTGTTATGAGTTTCTATTGTGGATGAATTGCTTTGCCCTGAAGGATAATCCCATCATCCTGGAGCTGAAGGTGTTTTGTTTTGTAGATAGGCTGGCCCAGTCCTTTTCAATGGGCACCAAATATCTACCTGGGGCAGGGAGCTGAAGCTCTTGAGTTTCTGTCTTTAGAAACATGTTTCTCCTTTAGGGAAAATATAATATTCTGCCTTTTTAATATTTCCTAAAATATTTCATTCTTCTAAGAGTGGTGTGCTAACTTTCTACAGTGGCAATGGGCAAGTTTGTTCATCCAACTTAGCAAAGAAGTGTTTAGAGGCAACACACATGAAACGGTACTTTCACACCTGTTTTGTGTGTTTGTGTGCTTTGTGTTTTGAAATGGAGTTAAGGGGAGAAGCCAGTGGCTAATTGGGTGTTGAAAAAGGTCCAAAAGCAAAAGAATAAACACAGAAATCCAATGGTTTCTCAGTACTTTTTAAATAAACTTCAGCTCCTGTGACTCTTTTTTCAATGTCCCAAAAGTGCTTTTTTCAAGAGGCAACTTGACTTTTGGTTTTTCTTTGAAGACGTTTTGCTTCTCATCCAAGAAGCTTCAAAGAAAAACCAGAAAGTCCAGTTGTCTCTTGAAAAAAGCACCTTTGGGACAACTATGACCTGGATGACCGAGAATCTCGACAGACATTGTTCTTTCAATCAACTAGAAATTGCATCAAGCAGCTCATAGGCAAAAATAAATAAATAAATTTAAAAAGCAACCTGTCCCTTTAACAGAATTTAAGATGTATTGAGCTAACAGTCATTTATGGAAAGGAACCTAATCAGCTGCTAATGGTTGTGGATAAAAATGAGAAGAGGTCGTTTGTTTGAAATGTTAGCAACACATACTCAAGGTGGGTGGTTCTACAACTACTATGCCACTTATCTATTTCTGGCTCCTACACCTATCTTTTGGGCCCGCATTTCCACATCATTTTTATTTGTGCATGATCTATGGAGCGCTAGGTGCTCTCTGAGCTTGTTTTCTTGCAGATATTTCATTACCCAACTAGAAAACATCAGTGCTAATGAATGTGAGATTTTCTCCCTGTCTATACCTTTACACCTAAAACTCATGGTGTTATCTAGTAGGGTAAAGAAACAACAAAACTAAGCACCAAGGATTTCAGGGCTGTCAAACTCATGGCCCATGGATCGGATGCGTTATGCGCTGGCCACGCCCACACCCAGTTTAGCAAAGGGAAAAAAGTCATGATACATCACGTGAGGTCATTCTGACATGAGTTTGGCACCCCTGCCATAGAATATTCTCTTTGTGCCTGATCTGTTAGCTTAATCATTATAGCCATGTTCTAGAAAATCATTGGTAAACATGACAAACTGTCGCTGCTTCGTTAGTTGACAATGTATTTTTTTTTAACTTCCTTCACCACAAGCACTTTAATTCAGATTGAAAAGGCAAATGCTTTGGTAGGGAAGTTGTCGTCTATTAAGGTAAAATAAAGCCACCTTCACTGAGATCAAATCCTGATGATGACACAGACATGTCTATATATGGGTGGTTCCTTTTACAATTCAGAAGTGATTACTACTGCCTTTTTAAGGAATAGTTCCAATTTGGCAGTTTCTCACTTTAACTTTCAGCTGTTGAGTTCTCCTTCGAGGGTCCCAGCCAAACGTGAGGGCTGGTAATAGGGGTGGCTGTTCTATAACATGGCTGGCTCAGGAATTCTGGGAGTTGAAGTCCACAAGACATGAAAGGGCCATGGTTCCCCACCCCTGTTACAGAAGATCTCTATCTATTGAAACCAGAAGCCTATATCAAATAAAACTTTGTTCTGTTAAACATCTGCTTGTACAATAAGAATATAGATAGTCAGGGGTGGGCTGCTGGGAGTTTGCAGGGGTTCAGGAGATCCTCTAAGATTCTGCACAGTTCGGAAATCCCACTCCTGGCTGCCCCCCACCCCACCCCA